TACTAATGGTAAGCCAGCAAGTAAGACTTAACACTTCACATGAAAGCTATAACTTTCCACATCCCTCTGTGGCTGTGGCTGTTTAAGCTCCTTTACTGGGCATGTGAGACCACAGAGTGAACTGAGGTAATCTGCCAATCACTGTCATCCTCTAATGGGAGTCGATTTAGCCAGGAGACTTTGTGGCTGTGTATCACACCTGTGCACGTAAGAGGTTTCCCAGGATAGTGCTAATAAGGAGATTATCGTGCAGGGAGGGACGTCTTCTGCATGTGAGACATGCAAGGAATTGAGGATTAGGCTTCGTTAATCGCTCTGCGCAGACAACAAGCGCAGACACTCAGCGGCACGGGAGAGAGGACACGAAGCTTGGACAAAAAGAGCAGAAAAGCCTGTAAAGGTGAATAAATAACCATCAGAGATGTCCAAGGACAAGCTGGAGAGCCTGGTGAAGCGTATGGAGGAGACGCTGTCGGAGATGGAGCAGCTGAAAACGCACTGCGGAAGGCAGAGCGAGGAGCTGAGCCAGCTGGTGGTGGAGCTCCGGCGAGAGAACCAGGAGCTGGTGGAGAAGTACAACCAGCTCGCTGTGGAGATGAAGGAAGCCAAGGAGATTATAGAACAGCTACAGGACACAAAATATGCCTTCAATGCAAAAGAAAGGCAAGCTCAGAAGCTCAGCAGGCAGCTCTGAGGGCCCACATGCAGAGTGGGAACCCGATGTGACCCAATCCTGTAGGAAAACCAGACTGGAAGGCGAATGGAAAAAGAACAAAGTATTGCTCGTTGAAGATGATGTCTAGAATCTGGGTGGGCATGCAAAATAAACTGGGCACAGCTGTTTCCTTTAACATATAGAGTGAACATATGTGTACATTTAAGGCCTGCGGCAGAGTGGCTGTAAAGCTTAGTAATTTGAATGTAACTTAAATCCTGTGGCTTAGAGTCCTTTTAAAGCTGCAACAAGACTTAATGACCAGGAATAAAAACCGAAAGTCTTTAAGAGATGTGGATGTGGAATGTGTGGACTTGAAAATGGGTGAAGATTATGCACAGAGTAGAATTATGCTCATTAGATTTCTATAATTAAAACAACATTCCTGGAAGCTAAGATACACTTCCCTGTAAAGTTATTACAGGATAAAAGCCACTGGATATTATTTTTAAGTGGGTGGTCAGCTATTTTTGGTTGTGTCAAGGACTAAAAATAACTTGCTATCCCTCCCGCCCACAGAAAGAGTGCAAATACAAGAAAAACAGAGAAAATGTGCTTTGATTTGTTGTTCAGCATGTTTAAATTCTAAACATCTTATGCATATAAGACTGACAGTTGCTTGTGTTAAGGCTTTTTGCATCATGTTAATTTACAATTTTAATGGTTTTACACTGCATAAAATAACTGATGTAGTCAAACATGTGCATTAAACATGCATTCTTTCTGAAAGCCAGCAGGTGGCGACTTCACTGATTTTGAAAGGAAGTCCGATTGTATAAAAGGTTCTGAGAAATGAGCCTGATTTTCACTTGATTTATTTCCTCTGTAAAGTTTTAATTGCTAGTTTAAAGTCTCAATGAGCACAACCTCATGATCATTTTCAAGTTATAGTCATATTTAAAGCAAGACTAACAATATATCAGGGTACGTGTTAGGGTGCGGTGACTTTGTAATTGCTCTCATCATGTATTGTTTTTGGGGTTTCAGTCAAATCCACCCTTTGCCTACTTTTAACAAACCCAGATAGGGATGATCACCACAAGGCTTAAATATCAATCCACAGAAACAGTCTGTGGGCGTGGCTGACGTAGCCTTAAGCCTTCTCAGGCAGAGCGAAGGAGCAGACTCAGTGCTGACAGCTATACAAAAAAATCTTTCTCTCTCAAATCTATTTTGTGGCATTTTGTTGTTTTCTTGTACTTTTGTCCATAAGAGTAAAATTCCATACAGCTGTTTTGAAAAACATTTGACCAATCACATCTCTGCTGACATCTTGTGAGACAGCAATGACACACGTGTGCCTAGATTTTTAAAAAAATATTCCACAACTCTGACTTCAAATCATCTTCACCTGTTAATGTTCAGTTAATATATTCTACAGAACACATCAGGGACCTTAATTTGCCCTGAAATCTGAGCTCACTGCCGTGAACCACAGCACAGATCTTCAAACATGCACTGAGATTCATGTAGGTTTAAAACTCATGTCACAGGTGGCCTTTTGCCTCCCACAGCAGGCACATCGCTGCCTTCAAGGACAAAACATATTCAAGATGATAAAGGACATTATTGTAAGATAACAACAGGAGACTTCAGTCACTGAGGTTTGCATTTTGCTTGTTTCACCTGACTGCATCCTGACTTTGGATCCTCTCTTCGATATTCCTCACAAGCTTTCTCAGTAGTTGAAATCCAACACTAATCAACACTCTGATTGTGAGTATGTACAAAGTGAGTGGTACTGCAAAAAGTTCCTTTAACTCTAGAGAGTTTTGCAGTGTTGAAACTGTAGAAGATATCAAAATTGTTTGGATTGTAAAAATACTTTAGGAGGAGTACAATATAGATTAAAAAAAAGGCCAGTTCAAAGACGTTCGTCATCAAATGAATGTTGGAACAAGCTTGTGTAGCATGCTTTCTTCCAATGACAACAACTCTGAGCTACTTTGTTAAGAAGAGTAATAATAATGACAATGTACCAAATGACAGTCAAGGTGAGAGTTTTTAATTTAATTAAAGTGCACCTATTGCCCTTATTTTAGCTCAATATGTTTTTTGTCATCACTCATCCGAGTCACTTCGTCTCAGCTGCTATCCTCAGCTGCTATCCTCAGCTTCTAAACAGTACATTTGCACAATAACTGGAACCAGCCCACTGAATGAGCAATGGGCTCTGAAATCACTTCCTTGATCATTATTATGCAAAATTGTCGTGACTATTCAAGCTCATTTTTCATCCACGGTTTCTGAGAGTAGCACTAGCTGTGTTGTGAGATATATAAGTCTGAAAATGTATATATATCAAACAATATCGCAATGAGTCCTTTTGCTTTTGATGGTTTAAAGTATATACGTTTACCAAAATAGGCTGCTGTGGTCTCTTTAAACAACGGCCTTACCAGTGATAAAATAAAAGCACGGTTGTGCAGTGTATAGGAAGCATGTTATTGTAAATGTCATACACTGGATTGAAGACACAGAGTCTTGAGAGCTATAACTAGGTGGTATATTTGATTTGGACCACAGGAGGTTACTCAGTGTCTTGTTGATGGTCCACTGAATTTAAGCAGAGTGAGAGGTGTGCTAGGTTTGCCAAGTTTGCACTAAAGATGAAGGTAACTGAAATTCTACATATTCATTCTTAGATTTGAGAGCCACTCAGTCTGGCTTAAAGATTTAAAATGAGGTTTCATTGTAAGAAGAAAAAAGCGCTTTTTGGAGCCAAAGATTCAGCAACAAAACACTTCAGGAAGGTTTCTGGACCACAGTGTCTCTCTGGACGAAAAACAAATGATGTCAACTGTAGAAAGCTGGCTCAAAACAACTACAAATCACACCCAAGCTGTATTTTTATGAATCCCAAACTATATAATTTTAGATGGTTGTGGAGTTTTCACATTGTGGTTGGGAAAAGAAGAAGTGGGACGGAAAAAAAAAAATCATGTTACATACTTGGAGATGTTTATAGATCTGGTTTTGCATTTAAAACCCAAAGGAAAAAAACAACAACCTTTTTGTGCTCGTATCTTCTAGTTTTAACATTTTCAGTAAGTTTTGAAAATTAAATCACCAAATTCTACAAATAGACTGTGTTTTTGTCAAGTTTGAAATCAGATTTAAGAGTTGTAGAGTTTAAAAATGTTCACCAATTTTACTGGGGCCCAAGTAACACTGGACAATGACTGATTGGACAACAAATCACCCTGGGGGACTGGAAGACACCCAGAGAGGCTTTGATACAAGACTGGGGGATTAGGTAAAGTGGCAACTTATAAAAGTTGCACAAATATATGTCAAAGTGGGGCATGTAGGTGGACTTTTAATCCACGCCAGTGTAATTTGACAAAACTGTTACAGGTATATTTACTGCTGTTAAAGCCTTGAACGTTTTGGTGCTATCAAACTACACAGGTGTCTTTTTTAGTTAGTTTTCTTCAGTCTGTTTTTCCTGTAAGAACTGTAAGAATTGGGTGATTGTAATTAAGATGATCTCTTTTTGTTTGAGTAAGCGGTCATCAAAACACTTTGTTAGACATATGTCTGTTAAATTGTTTTGCTTATGAAAAAAATGTAAAAAGAAAAAAAAAGAGGAAAAAAATCGGACTTTTGAATTATTGACAGCAGTTTTCAGTGTACATCTTGACTGATTGTGCGGTAATAAGTTGGATATCTGAAACTAAAGAAAAGGATGTGACTTTATTTTTCTATATTAGTCTACTTGGATTTCTGTTACTGCAGTTCTGAGTAACAGACCACACAACCCACAGAGAATTTAGCATAATGTACAATTTTTCTTCTGAAAAAGGAAATCTATATTTGATGTAATTATTTTTTTTTGAATGTCTTTGGCTGTTTCTCTTCTCAGGCGCAATTTCTCAAGACATAAAGAGGCAAAAGTAAAACACAAAGATTAAACCAACACATTCCTGCTGAACATACAATCCAGGGAACATTTGGGACCTATTTTCAGTTTTACAATTTGTAACTGAGCATTTAAAATAGAGCCACGACTTTGGATGATTAACTTGGTGTTACATGTTCGGTATTACATGTTCGGTGGGTACAGTGGGGGAGCATGATAATAACGCGTTTGGTTACGGCAAAGCGGGTCTTTTTCTTTTAGCGTTTGCTTGTGGGGAGCCTAGAACAAGCGAACATGCTGATTAACCCTTTTTTTTTTATTACAGTCTGAAATTAGAGATGTTGAGTAAAATGTTCCCTCCTCTGCAGTTAGGGGGGGCTGTAACCGGGTTGGATGAGCTCCTGGTTAAAAGGCGCGGTAACGACGCGGAGGAGGTTTAACCAACGGGTCTTTCTCTTCTCCTCGTAGGCTGGGCGCACGGCAGAAAGAAAGAAATAGAGAGGGAGCGAGAGGTTTCCTCCCAGATAACTTTCCTCATATATCCAGGACACTGCACCGGTAGCATCTTCAGGTCAAAACTCGGAGAGAGAGAAACCAGCTGTCAGGTCTGCTGCGCGCTGCAAGGTCCGACGGGTTGGAACTCCAAGAAAACATTATTAAACCCGCTGAACACGGTGAGGATCCAACATTATTTTACCTGACTTTACTTCAAGTTTTTAAAACTAACCTGTTCACGGTCACCGAGTCACCGATAGTGCTTTTGTAAATATCACTGAGGTACCATAGGAGGTAACATTTATTTTAATAGTATGTTTTATTAATATTATTATTATTATTATTTAATATGGAAATAGCACAAATAGGCTAAATTGTTATAATTTTCCCGGCTGATCAGGTGCCTGATGCAGAGATTCTTCACCCACAGTACAGAGGACACAAGACACTGCATGCCCTCGCTGACTGGCGAATAATTGTTAATTTGGTTGGATAAAAGCATGTAATCGCCCGAGGATAAAGGCTTTATGAGCCGGCACAATAAAAAGGGAGCGAGGCTGGAATCTCATAGGGAACTTCTAAATAGATCAGTGACCGATTATAGTCGGGATCAGTTTACAATCGCTGTTAAAACAACTAAGATTTATTAGCTTAAAACTTTAATCAATATTTGATTCTAGTGCTTTGTTTCAGGATGCATTAATATGTTGTAATACTTTTAATAAAGCTATAATATAATGATATGAAGTTTTTTTTTATTAGATGTGTTTCTGTGGGGGTATTTCTGTGTTTCTATTTATTTTCGAAAGTGCTTAATTTGGCGAGTTTATTTCTAAATTATTGTTTTTGAACTAATTTTTATAGCTGAACCCACCGAAACAAATGAAAGCAGAAATTCACGATTAATGTGGTTGTTGATGGGTGTAAAATGAATTCATTAAAAAAATAGTTAATTGTTATTAAGGTAAAAAAAGACAAACCAGCCTTGAAGCAACCCCCCCCCCCCCCAAAAAAACCCCCCAAACAAACAAAAAAACAAAACAACAATAAATAGAAATTATAAAAATGTAAATTAAACATTACAGGGTTTGGATCAGAGATTTTTATTTTATTAACTATTTTATTAACTCATTCATGAAACCAGTTACCACTCCAGTAGTAAATGACATGACAAGTTTTATGTGGAGGTGCTGGTTTCATCATCAAAGGACTGCTGCGGGTCCAGACAGAACAGCCTCAGATTAACCCCACCCAGGCCAATTACCGCATTAAGTTACTCAATTTTGTCCCTATGGCTCAGTAAGTGTTTGTGTATATATGTCTGAGACAGACCAGATGACACCCTGTATTCTCTTCACTTGGGCACGGCCATCCTTTTTGCTTTGTTTTGTGTATTTGCTGTGAAGTAACTTTCCTTTCAGTTTGGTGGTTATGGCTAAGCAGTCAGGGGTAATTTGGCAGCTACAGACAACCCCCTTCTCACTCTCAGAGAGGCAGGAAACATGCAATTTGCCCTGGAAAAAACAAAACAAACAAACAGCCTCTCCACATGCAACAAAGGAAACATTTTAGCTCAGTTAAGCAATTAAGCAATGAGATAGCAGAGGGAAATGATAAGGCTGGCGCTTGAAGTGATGGACATCTGATAAAAAGTGTTTTTCCTAAAGAGGCTTTCTTCATGTCCGCATTCTTCCTGTCACTATATGCGCATTTTGGATTGTGAATGTCCAGTTTTAACAATAACTGGAACAACAAGTCATACATTTGGTGAATATTTTTTCAATAATCACTATTTGGACCAGTGGAAAACATATTAAACTTACTGTTATAGAGGACTAAGAAAAAGAGTGCATATCTAAAGATGAGCCAGTAAATGTTTTTGCATTTTGCCAGGAAAAAAACTTTGTAAAAGTCTGTCTGTAAAACTGTCAAAGTACCCAACACTGAAGTACGAGCAGTGCAGAAGCACCACAAACTGATTTATGTACTAGGAAATTTTAGGAAATGCTGCAAGGCAACAAAAATGATGTCTACTGAGTGTCAGCCGGCAGTGTTTTGCTTAGTCTTTTCCCCTCTTCCTTAGAGCTCTGTTCTGCTTTTGTTAACCCATTTGTTGTGTGCCTAGTCAATTACTGTTTCTCTCTCACTCTTGGCTTGTTTTTGAAAAAGTTTGCTGCATGTGCAGTCATCTTTATTAGTCACAGTGACTAACTCTGGATGCCCTTTAATTCTTCTTTTTTTTCCAGGGAATAACGAGGATGCTCCTGCCTTTGGCAATCCTACAGCTGCTCCTGACTCCAGCTCTCATGGTAATTTCCCAGCTAATACAGAAAAACACTGAGAAAAAAAAAGTAATTTTGTCAAATTCTGATGTCTAATTTTGCACCCAGGGGCCCAGTGTGGATTACTGGGACTCATGGGGTCCATATGGAGAATGCAGTCGGACTTGTGGCGGGGGTGTGACTGTGAGAACTAGGCGCTGTATTACTCACAGGTAAGTCTTCTGCACATTAACTTTATCCATTTTAATGCATCTTGATGTACATAAATACATGTATAAACTTATAACACACACACACACACACAGAGTTTTTTCCTGTTTGAATAAAGCTAATTGTGAGGTTCACGGGCACAGACTGTGTATTTTTATTGTGAAAGAATGCCTTGAAGTCACGAGGATGTCGGCTTGTCTTACTTCCAAAAACACACTGCAGGGAGGGGCCCTTTAATATTAAAAGGACGTCTCTGTGTTGTGTGTTGTCGGTTGTCTGCTGAAGAGGATCAGGTGGGAGGTGAACGTTTCGAGCTGCCATTTTTTTGCTTCAGTAGTGGTTTTAAAAGTCAACATTAAATTTTAGGTTTCCTTTGCGGCACACGTGTTGTTACATTTAAGTAACACGTACAGTTTTTCCTTTAGTGTTTGGATTGGTTTTTAAAGCTACTCCTCTCACATGTGACTAATATGTAAGCATGCTCCCAGCTTTTCCTGTAAATGTTGCAGTATTGCTGGGGGCCGTCTGGCATATTGCCATTTGGAAGAAGTACTCAGATCTTTTACAGAGATACAAATATGAGAAAATTGAAGTAAATATACTATATTACACATAAAACTAGCATTCAAAATTCTACTTGGATATTGGGATTAAACTGCACTGCACATATAAAATTAAACACGCTTGTACAGTTGAGTTGAGTGCATTAAAATTCTGCATTATGATTTTTTTTAATTAGCTGTAGATTTTATTGTTAACTTACTGGCTGAAGGATTTCAGGTGTGTGACAGACTGCTGTGGCAGCACTGACGGATCATTTCATTTTGAGACAAAGAAGTGAATGCTAGGTGAACTGGCGAGAGTAAATAAGCTATAGTTGAGAATGTAGGCAGGAATGATTGTCTGTCTCTCTGTGTTAGCCTTAGATTGGCAACCTGTCCAGGGTATACCCCCGCCTCTCTCCCCTGTGTCACTTCCCCGCTTTGTTTCCTGCATTTCCGCTCTTTTTCTCCAGTGTACCTTACAAAAATAGAGAAAAAAGTCAATCTTAATATAGCCACGCTATAAATAAAACTATCAAAGAGGCTTAAAACAAAAGTCTTCCTGTAAAGTAGACGACGGAGTATCTCAGCGGCCTATAATTTAGCTTAATATACTGAATACCTTTCTAAAAACAACAAGTCTTATTTTCTTTTGCGCAGAAATATTCCCACTAGACAGGACAAGTCTGTGAGGAGCTGTTTTTAACAGGTCTAAGTACTTTGTTTTACTTCATGTGTCATATCTTGTTGCATTTACCTGACCACAAGCTGTTAGATATGTTGTTTTTATCATACAGTGTTGATATAGCTGTTTGTGCAGCTTCTGCATCTCTGTAGAAGCTTGATGGCAGTGTTTTGATGTCTGATGTCTCTTGATGCTTGTTTTCAACATGTTCGTGCAGTCAGCCAGTGAGTCAGAGCCTTATAGTGAGTCTGTAGCCCTTCTTTAGGAAAATGATGAATAATAGGGAAGAGGTCCTACCCATTGCCAGTCAGATGAACTCTGTCATATCTTGTCTGCCAGGCTTGCTGAATCACTCCTTTAAACACAGTGATTTGACAGCTCCCTCTGTGCTTTAAAGGAACTCCCACGTCTCACCATACATTCATTTTAGTAAAAAAAAAAAAAAGTACACACATTCATAAGAAAAACAAGCATGATTGGGGTTGTCATTTTGTCAGACGGGGCTATAATCAGTTTCAATTATGTGCAATCAATAATTTTGCATGAATAACTGCCACTTTTCCACATTTCTGTTTTGTATCATTTTAAACTGAAAGTAGTGTTTAATGTGCTGTTTTCCATTATTAAGTGAAAAGCCGTTGTTTTGACATGTTTTAGTTTCAGTTCAGGTGTGCTGACAGGAGCATGTCTTGTTTTACGGCTTAAGGCCAGGTACTTTTGAAGATGACTAAATCATGAATTATCAGCAGTGCTGGAATGGTGAGTGGCGAAACAGTCTGCTATCTCGCAGTTTACTGGCATGTGCACGGATGTCTGTGCAAAACTAGGGCTTAGCAATGTTGATGTTGAGGCTTCTGCTGTGCTGAGAGGTCATTTTTTAACAGGTACAGATTAAAGAGGAATGTTGTTTAATGTCAGAGCTGAAACTTGTTATTTCTGCTTGTGCAGACAGTCTCTGCTGTATTTGCATACATTCATTGCACCTACTCATTAACTGTTTTTGTCTCGCAATGAGAAGCTGTCAAGTTTTTATGAAACTTTACTTGGGAAAGATGTGAGAGAGTTTGATGGGAAGTTAAGGGCAATGACTTTATACTGGATCGTCAGCCCATTTTCAATTCAATTCAATTCAATTTTATTTATATAGCGCCAAATCACAACAACAGTTGACTCAAGGCGCTTTATATTGTAAGGCAGACCCTACAGTAATACATACAGAGAAATACCCAACAATCATATGACCCCCTATGAGCAAGCGACAGTGGGAAGGAAAAACTCCCTTTTAATAGGAAGGAACCTCCAGCAGAACCAGGCTCAGGGAGGGGCGGTTGGGGTGAGAGAAGGAAGACAGGATTATTTGTGAACATCTTCTTTTAACAGAAAGTCTGTGATACAAATTTAAATGAAGTGGTCATTAAGAAGCACAGAGCATCTAAAGCATCTAAAGAAATGTATCTATGATGTTGTGGAGTGTTTTTAAAGCATAAGGAGTAGTAGAAGCAAGGACAAAAGTCAGTCAGGAGGTCTTAGCCTCTTCTACTCTTGTGGAAATTGCTCTCACAATATCGGGCAGATCAGGGTTCATTCATAAAAGTATTACATGAAATGTCATGTTCATGTTTTATTTTATTTGCACTCAGGGAGGATGGAGGGCACAACTGTGTGGGACCAGACAAGTCATATCGGTCCTGCAACATCCAGGTGATCACATGTGAAACTAATTTGGTTTTAATGGTCAACCTTTTATTTTCATGTATACTTTTATATTTAGACCTCTAAATTTTTTTTATATATCAAAGGACTTTTTTTAAAAACACGATAACTTGATAGCAATAATCACTATGATGCACTAAAACCTAAGGCAAATCAAAGTACAAAAGTGTGTTTCTTTCTTAAAGAAGACATTGTAAATATATTTTTTGAATTTGTATTAATTCAAAATACAATACAGTAGTTATTTTAGGATTACTGACCTTTGACCTTTGCTGCATCTCCTTATTCAACTCAGGACTGTCCAGAGGGATCCAGAGATTTCCGTGAAGAGCAGTGCTCCCAGTTTGATGGGACAGATTTCCACGGGAAACGCTACAAATGGCTTCCATATTACGGAGGTCAGAAACAAAAACAAAGCTGAGAGTTTGCTTTGACAGGCCATATTATGTATACTATTGACTGAATTTTCTTGTGACATTTGCCAAGCACCGGCTATTTGTGAGCATTTGTATTTCTAAGTTCTTTAAATTGTTAAAATTAGCCTTATTTCTGTGATAGCTGAGAACCCCTGTGAGCTGAACTGCATGCCAAGAGGGGAAAACTTTTTCTACCGCCACCGCAGAGCTGTGATTGATGGTACGCCCTGTCACCCAGGGCGGACGGATATCTGTGTGGATGGAGTGTGCAGGGTAGGATGCCCCGCCAAATATTGCGCACACACTTGCACACACACAAAGAAATTAATATCTGACAGGTGACGAAAACAGAGAGGGTAGGAAGGAGGTTTATGACATCTAAATGTAATTCTATGTTTTCCAACTTGTCCTGAAACCGTAACTTTTTATTAGTCCATACTTCTTGAGAAAGAGTATTAATAATTCTAATAATAAGTATTCTTTTCTGTTGGTTATAGGTTATGTAACGCGAAATTTATTATATTATTTTAAGTGGTAAACTTTCCAAATATGAGTGTACTGTAAGTTCTTTAGTCTCAACATGCTCCTGTTGGCTTCTCCTCAGCACTTACCCCCAGGGCAATCCCTGCTGACATTTTTACCCCGAACACGAACGTGTGATTTGTATCTGGGGTTTCTATGTGGACAAGAAAACACGTGTTAAAGCAATTTATAATTGCACATAACACAGTTATATGCAGTCGTAATAGCTACATGCAGTGGTTAACGCACAAAAACACACAAAAGATCCCTGGTTTGAGAGCCAGCCTCAATGGGGAGCAAGCTAGTCTACTCCTAGTGTTGGCCCAAGCCTGGATAAATGGGAGGGTGGTGTCAAATAAAATATGAAAATCCATCCGCTGTAGTGACCTCTTGGGAAACAAGGAGACAGCTAAAAGTACTCCTTGAACTAATGTACTAAATGTAATGTACTAAAAGTACATTACCTTATATTTGCATGCAGAATACGTAGTGTCCAGCAGAGGTCAAAATCTATTTGGGAAAACATGATTGATAAAAATATATTGGTTGCAATTTAATAAATGTGTGCATGAACATTTCAATGATAAAGTTAACTAAGTTGCAAGGCACATATTTTGTAGTTCTGCTCTCTGCCCTGCAGGTGGCAGCTCAAATACCATACAGTATGTATAACATATGCAATTTGGTGTTTACCACACATTAAAGGAATGTGAAGAGCTGTAGAGGTCTTATTTAAAAAATGCAACACATAGCCTGATATGAGTTGCCAGTTAGGTCTAATGATTTGATTAGTCTGCCCATCCATGATTTGGGGTTTGACGACTTCAAATCTTGGAGTGCAGCATCACTTCGTTAATCAGAGAGGACACAATCAGTGGAGCTGAGCAGCAGGATGAAAGATTAGCTTCACTCTGTATAACATCAAACACTTCTGCTCTTGTTCTTTTCTCATGCAATTATTGCTGCAACTTTTTCCTCATGAGTAAACCTCGTCAATTTAACCTCTGACTTCATGTCTCTATCACCTTCCCTGAAGGGAACAGCTGTCCCAAATCCACTCTTTTCTCGGGTCTTTATTTATTTATTTTCAATTATTTCACCTCCAACCATGTTTTTCTTCGAACTACACGTTTCACAGAAATAATGTTTTAGCACATATATTCTCGGGAGATGATTTCTAATCTCTCTCTATTATAGTGGAGCAGTGACTTTGACAGTTGTCATACAAAGACAGGAATTTTACAAGATGAACACATCAGATTTTTATTAAGATCAAGATTTAAAGTTTTTAAATGATGTTATTTGTGCTTGTTTATATCTGCAGAAGACAACCTAAATGACACAGAATACAGGTTGAGGTGAACTGTGGTTTTCATCTTCTTTTTTGATCATTTTTCCCCAACTTTTCCTTTCCTCAGCGTATGGGCTGCGACAACATGCTGGAGTCTCCTCAGCAGGAGGACCCCTGTCTGCAGTGCGGGGGTAACGGCCAGTCCTGCTACCGCGTCAAGAACAGCTTCACTGCCCGCGACCTGCCAACCGGTATGATTCATATTATAATTTGGTCACGCTTACTCCCAAATGATCTGCCATATGATATATGTACCCAACATGTACCTGATAAATGTCATAAATCATCATCATCTAAATATGTGTCATTTAAATCCTCTCCTGAAGTTTAAACCTCAGTTTCTTCTTTTTTGCCACTTTTATTTCAGGCTACAACCAGATGTTCATCATCCCCGTTGGAGCCACCACCATCAGCATCAGAGAGACACATGCCACACGTAACTACCTTGGTAAGTGTGTGTCAGACCTTTTAGAAAACACACTACAAGATAATCAAAATAATTGACATTTACAACTTCTTTACAGCTATCAAGAATCTACGTGGAGAGTACTATCTCAATGGCCACTGGGTAATTGAGTTTTCCAGAGCCACACCTATTGGCGGCACCATGCTGTACTACCAGAGAGGAGCTGAGGGCGACAGTGTCCCTGAAACCATCATCGGCCGTGGCCCCACCACTGAACCACTTGTTGTTGAGGTAAAAAAACAAATGACCATTCATGATCAAATAGACTTCACAGGGTTATAAATATGAAATTGTAGAATGCACTCCACACACACAATGGTTGTGCTCACAGGTGTCAAGTTTGTTTTGGTTCTTATACAACGACCCACGGTCTGGTCTGCACTGGTCTCAGCTTTCCATCCTCCCCTCTCTCGTCTCCTGCCTCACTAAAAGGGGAAAAAGACTGTCATCAGTCCAAATGCCACCAGCTGTGTTCTCACCTGCCTCGCTGGCACTGCCCCGTTGAGCTCCCTCCCCTGCAGCTGAGCCAGGGACCACACCTCCGCCACAGAAATATATGAGAAACATTTCCAGAGAAGAGAAACATTTAGTTTCTTCGTGCCATAAGTGTTTGTTTAAAATTTTAAACTTAAGGTAGCGTTTTGGATGTGTGGATAAAAGTAGGAGTTTAAATTAACCCTGTCCCCTCAGCTGATCAGCCAGGAGCCCAATCAGGGAGTGGAATATGAATACTACCTTCCAAATGGACGCTCCAGAGAGGGCTACTACTGGAGCTATGGATCCTGGTCTGCTTGCAGCAAAGAGTGTGGATCAGGTTCGACTGCAACTTTTATTTGCTGCCAGCATAATTTAATTTAAAATGTTTTAAACATCCTTGTTTTTGGACAGTATAATAGCTCCATACCTTCCTTTATCAGGCTACCAGTCTCGTTTGGTTTTCTGTTCAATCGACAATGAGGCCTATCCTGACTATCTCTGTGCTTCTCTGCCGAGGCCACAGAGCAACCGTACATGCAACCCTCAACCATGCCCACAAATCCGCAGGTAAGTAATGCTTAAACTTCTCAAATGAAATGTGTTATTTCAGTAAATGCAAGCTAAATTTTAGACGTTTCCAGAGTTTACTTTGCTCCACTCTGAATGAATGAATTTAAAGAGTACCATAAATAACTCCCAGAGCAGCATTTTGACTGTTGTTGGTATGTTATGCCTGTCTGAAAGGATGGCGTACCTGTATTCACCACAGTTGTTGAGATCCTCAAAGAGGCCTAGAGCCTCTGTGTTCAGGTAACCCATGTTCAGCGGTCGTAGAGGAGTTTTAGGTGACTGCAAACACAGGGGGAAGATCTAAATAATTAAACACTTTCACTTATTTCCTTGAAAAGATTCTTTTATTAGCTCTGTTAGATCATTTCCATACTTTCTGTCAAACAAACACTTTTACAACGAATCATTTTTGGCTACTTGTCCCTAAAATTGGGCTGAAAATATCAAAAATGACCAGAAATGTTATAAATGTTGATTGAAAGCGCGATCTTTCCCCCTTTAGAAGTGTTTGACTCTAGTCGAGTCCGTCTTTAGTGCCAAGTCTGTTCTGTCCATGTGAAATAAGGATGAAGGCATGGGGCAACTGTCCAGCTCAGAGATCTCTTTTCAACCTTTTAATGACCCTCATTTACCTTAGACAACATCCAGCACTTTGTAAAGTGAGTGATGGATGATTGGATGTAGCATTCCCCCCCCAAAGAGCCAACTCTTCTTTAACCTTTAAGCTGTGGCACCTGTGTCTGATTCCTGAGCTGGGCTGCTGCCTGATCTCTTCAGCAAACTGTAAAGCTCTCTGTTCCTGTTTGTAGCCAATGTGTTGTGAGGCGCTTAGAGGTTAAAGATCGTCATGCCGTGGGTGTTGGGGATTGTGTACTTTTCAGGCTGGGACACGGCAGTAGTGCTAAGTAGTAAATAGTCGCTTTAGTCTATGACTTTCTGGTATTTCCTGCTTTCTTTTCTTTCATGCTGCTGCAGCTTAGAAACCTGAGATGTTTATGTAGCTCAAGTGACTCTAACTGCACCCTCAGTATCCATTAAAGTTAACACCTAAAGCCAGAATCAGTAGATGCTTAATTTGCGGAGATGCGGGGAATTAAATGCCGTTTATTGCTGCTTTCACTTCTGCCTATGCTTCTAGTAGCTGGTGTCTCGACGTCTGTCTCTAAAAGTGTTGTTATCAGTGTGTATGTGTCCAGGAGTTTAGTAGTTTTTCTAGCTGCATGTGAGAGGCTTTGTTCAAACAGCAGCGCAGCCTTTTAAAGGCATTCGAAGGTTTCATTCCAAACAGCGATTTGCATCAAATATGAAATAATTATTGAATTTGTCAGTCAAAAAAAAAAAAAAAAAATGCTGATATGTTAACACAAATGGGTCATAGGTCAAGTTATTCTGCTCATTTAAAAAAAAAAAACAGTAAAATAAATGTCTTTGTATTTCTCACTGCTGAAAATTATAACGCTTCTTTCCCGTATTAGTTTATCCATGCATCCAGCCAAAAATAACATTTAAAATATATACATAATCTACTAAAGATTTTATGGAAGACTATGTCCCAGGTCAGGTACTGACGAAGAAATGTTTACGTTATAGTTAAAGTAAAATGTAAAAAACCGGCTCTGAAGAGCATTGAAGTCAAACTGGACAGTATTTGTTCAACTCATTTGTTTTTCCTGATTTTGGAACGAAACTCTTCCCATCACTCCTCTCTTGGCTGAAGCTGCGTATGCTGTATGGTCAGCTGTACAGTGTCTATATCAGCAGCAAAGAGACTGACTCCTGTTTCTTGTCTTTTGGTGGTTTTCTCAGCTGGCAAACTGGGGAGTGGAACACCTGCTCAGTTACCTGTGGTGGAGGCTCTCAGGTGCGCAGTGTGCAGTGTGTTTCCAATGATGTCTCGGGACCCCGCGTGGTGGAGGATGCCGTTTGTGCTGCTTACGCTGACGCTCCTCCTTCTCTGCAGACCTGCAACATGCAGAAATGTGCTGAGTACCATGTGACTGGCTGGAGTGCGGTGAGCAAACTGTAGAACTCTATTTAAATCCTGGTAAAAGACTTTACAAATAAGTTAAATAAAGAAAAAATACAACCAGCACACAGTAAAAATGTGGGAAAGGATATCAAGAAATTTGAACTTTAAGAGCATTCACATTTATCAAGAGAATTTCTGACAGTTTCTGGCCGTTGTGTCAATTACTTTGGAAAAAAAATAGGCTGCATACTTAAAAGCCTCTGGCCTCTGACTCTGGGAATAAATGTAATATATTGTGAGAGTGAAGATGGTATTAATTGCAGTCCCTAAACCAGCCTAAACAAAGATTTATACATAAATAATATGTTAATCCAACTAACTACAAAGCAGAGAAGCTGGTTTTTGCTTTACTGAGCTATAATAAACACTGGTATCTAATCTACACTCTGTTAGAGTAATTTGTGTCTAGAAAAAAGTGGCTTACCTCAACTCAGTTCAGTTCAGTTTTTTAATATAGCACCAAATCACCAAAACACAGACCTCAAAGCACTCTCTACTGTAAGATGCCATAGTATTCTGGAAACAGCCCTCTATGAGCAAACCTTGGCGATGTTGGGAAGCAAATACTCCCTCTTCACAGGAAGAAACCTCAGATCAGATCGAAAGTCCTAAATGTAAAATTACATGATAAGCACATTTGACTATAAGGTTAAAATACCACACAAACATGTAAGGTTGGGTTATATTTAAAATTTTTCATCTTTCTTGGGTCTTTATAAAAAAGCGTAATCGATGCACTTGATATATAATCCTTGTGTTTGCAGTGCTCAGTGACCTGTGGTTCAGGTCAGCAGACCAGAGAAGTGACCTGTATGGGTTCAGATGGTACGAGGCTGGATGAAACATCCTGCAGTGCTTTGCTACGCCCGGCCGCTGTCCAACGATGTGAGATGGCCCCCTGCCCCCAACAGATCAGCTGGCACGTAGGAGATTGGGGACTGGTAAACCTGATGCACACATGCAACCAAACAAGGACTCATAAATGTAGTTATAGCAGCCGTATGGGTGAAAAACTCTCCATTTTCCTGCAGTGCTCTAAGAGTTGTGGATCTGGCTCACGAGAGCGCCAGGTGATCTGCTCTGATCAGGGGAGGAATCTGTACCCTGTGGACCAGTGTAACACCCAGCCCAAACCACTCACAGTGGAGCGCTGCAACACCCAGCCCTGTTACAGCCCACAGGGTGAGCAAATGCTAACTAAGCAAATAAACAATACACCTGTTGTTATTTTATTTCTCAAGTTAAGTTGTTAAATTTCCATTTACTTAATAGACTGCATTCTATAAATACCACGTGCAAAATTAAATTTAACATTTTGTGACTGCTGCCAGTCTTCAGTTAAGTTGCAATTGCATGCTTACACTGTTCTGCGTTTGTTTTATCCACACTTTGTGCAGTCGTCCCCAGCATTCAGGACCCACGGGGACATGACAACACTCAGATTGGCTTCCAGCCTTATGTGCCAGATCACGCAACAGGTTAGACTCTACCTCTCAAAGACATCTCATAATCACATCAGCATTGAAAATAAGCTAGTACGTAAGCATTTTTAGCTACGTAGTTACTCAGAAAGTAAACAAAAAACCACTGAAAAAGCCCAATGTGACATCACCAAGGTAACATCTTGTCAGCCAGTTATTAACAATTAAAACTACCAAAACATACAATCTTCTTATTATGGTTGGAGCATTAAAAGCTAATTGTAGGTGTGATTGCCCTGCTGTTGCTCAGCATCCCCTCTTCTCTGCTGATATAACTTCTGTCACTTTGTCCCCAGCAACCCCTCCACCCCCCTTCATCCCCATTCAGCCTGTCCCAGCACTAATTATCTGGGCCTGATTGACATGTTTTTATGGTTCCATGGTCATTGTTGGCCTGATTAAAATATTTCTGAAGCACTGAAGTGTGCTAGTGCTGGCAGTGGCGTTTTTGGCATGTTCAGCATCATGTGCTATCCCAGTGGTCAGGAATTTTAAGTTTGACGTCTTGTGTGTTTATTTTCCTTCAGATTGTTATGTCAGATTGCTGATCATCATTTCTTTTATAAATTCCTCTGCTTTGTTAGTCCATAAACAAAAGGAGTATGGATTTTTTTGTTCTTCAGCATCCTGTACAGACTCACTGTGTGGTCTCAAACACAATGACAGACTCTATTGTTTATTCAACCGATGTGTGAACGTCCCTATTGCTTGTATGGTGTTGTCTTGTGAACCATGGTGAACTATGGGGTCTGTTTTGCATGTACAATGCGTGAATTCACCACTCACTTGGCTTTGCCTGTAGCCCGCAGGCCTGAGACAAGAGATCCAACCCAGACGAATACAGTCTACGACCCTCACAGCTCCGCCCCGGCTCTCCACTGCAGCCAGTCTTATTATGGCTGCTGCTCAGATGGGCATACTTCAGCCAGAGGCCCCCAGGGTCTGGGTTGCCCATCAGCTCCAGCTCCCTCTCCTGTCCCAACATCCTGCATTCAGACCAGGTATCCACCTGCACTCTGTTATTGCACTGCAGTTGAGGTCATATGCAGAGCCTTTTTTTTTTTTTTTTTTTAAGGTTGCTGACTTGGTTACTAACCAGGGACTATGTGGCATTATACATGACCAGAAGCTCAAACTTTTAATACCAACTGTTCTTGCTCTCTTCCTGTTCTGTGTGTCAGTTATGGCTGCTGTGAAGATGGTGTGACGGCTGCTCAGGGCCCCAATAAGGAAGGCTGTGCGGAGTATGTGAACCCTGCACCAACTGTAAGCAAAAGCACACAAAAGTCTGAATGAATGAATCAAACATTAGTCAAATGTCAGTCAAATTCTTTAAAGAATGAGAAAATATTGCCTTATTTCATGTGTCATGCCTTTTCAGGTTACACCTTCTCTCCCTACTGAGAATGCAGTAGAATGCCGCACCACCACCTATGGCTGCTGCTATGACCGCACCACACCTGCAGGAGGACCCAATGGGGAGGGCTGCCCCAATCCTCCTAATTATAGTAAGTTTTCTAAACTCAATGAAGAGAAATCTTTTTTTATTTTTTATATTATTTCCAGTTAAGATATAATTTTGTGCTGTTGGTTACTGAGTTACTCCAATTTAGAGGTCACTCTAACAGTCGCTTTTATCCAGTTGATCTAGATCACCTGCATCTCATGGGCATGATTGATATCATGGCCATGATGGTGTTGTAGCAATTGGCAGTAATAATATGAGAAGAAATAATCAGACAGAGAAACAAAAAATGGTATGCAGCAGAGGACACTTACTGAGTACAAAACATGGGAGTTGTTTTTCATGTTTACTCCTCAGGCCCCATAGTGCTGTAGTAAGAAAACCGACTATAAACAAATATGTGACTGCAGTAAACTGTAATATTTTAGTAGTAATACTGAACACAAACATTCAAATTATACTTGATAAAAATACTATAATGTTGTTTTTCCTCTGTATTTGCACAATACATCTATGCAAGACAGCGCTGTTTGAGAAAATGCTTGACAATGACAAACAGCTGATCTGCATTGTGTTGTCTTTGTGCAGTTGAGCGATCAATCTGCTCCCTGCCCCGTGCTGCTGGCTCCTGCAGCAGTTGGGTGTCCCGGTACCACTTCGATGTCATCTCCTCCAAATGTGTGCACTTCTGGTATGGAGGATGCCACGGCAACAGCAATAACTTCATGACCCTAGCAGAGTGCCAACGGGCATGTCCACGACCTGCACCCAGCCGGCAGGCCCCGCAGCCTGCAGCTCCCTCTGGAGAGTCTACAAGAACCGCGGCTGGAGAACACAGCACGACTGGAGCAGAGACCTCAGCTGGAAGAGGATCTAGAACGGATGGGCGGTCACGCAACATGGGGAGGATTTTCATAGTCCAGCGTGGCTCGACCAGCAGCACCAGCAGACAGGCTACAAGCGCAGCCACTAATGCCCACAGAGGTAGAGTCTACCTGCGGGTACGCCGGCCTTCACATGGCACAGCTGCACAGCACACCGGCCCAGCTGCGAGGTAAGACTCCAAAGACCCAGGGAGAGCAGTGAAAAGCTAACCCTACCCGATCCAACCCCACTTCTACCACTACTGGCCTCGTAATGCTGTTCAGAGCCTTCTAATTCATGCTGAAGGAGCCCCAGTTCACTCTACTCTGCAGGGCCAAAGAGTGTGCTATAGGAGATGGAAATGCAATCAAAAGACAAATCATGTGCCTCATTCACCCATCCTGGAAATATGACGGTGGAGCTGAAGCAACCAAAAATCATATATAAGCAAATTATATTTTATGCAATCCAAATTTTTTTTTTAACTTTCTTTAGTAAAGTCTATCAGGGAACAAAACAGAGAACATAGCTTACTTAGTCTTACCCTCCATGTGGTTAAGCTCTCTTTCTGACACAGCAGATGGAGGGTGTGTCATTTTCCTGTAACATCTGGTGTAACAAAGCACACCTCTGACCACACCCAACCTCACCCACAAGTAAATCAGGCTGTGTGCTTTCCAGCCTGGTGTTGAGTTTCAACAACCTTTCCCATTTTTCCTGGATTTTGTTCAACAAAATACTTAATGTACTGTGCTTCTGTGTAACATGCCGTCTTTGTAGACTCTTTCGATGTTCATATAATCTAAACTCTTGCTTTAAAATGAAGCCACAGCTCTTTCCAGCTCCACAGATTTTCACTCTCACGCCTGCTTATGTCGCAACACCTCATTTCTTCCTTTAACCTCAACCAAATCAAGAAGAAGTCACCAGACCTCACACACCTTATATGGACATCAACGCTGTTTAATGCTTCTGGGACTCACTGCTCTCTGTCAGTCATTATTGTTGGTGCTTATTTGTGCATGCTACCTCTCTGTGTCAGTAACCACCATCACGTCTGTGCTTTGGTGTCTTCACCTAAATGTCATGAAATCAAACTAATAAAAATTCTGCTGTGATAATTCAGTCATCCTATGTGTGTGGTCCCTAAATCTCTCTTTCTTGTTTAGATGGTATTAGATTTAGATTTCTTTAGTGGTGTTTGGGTATTTTACATGAAAGGTGTCCTTGTCTCTTTTGTATGTTCGTAGTATTTTGTATTTGGGTTTTTTTGCACCTTTTGTCTCGTCACTTTTTGGGCTGCATGTGGATTTCTCTTCTCTGAGCTTTATCTGACAAACTCTTAAAGCCAGGTTGTGGGCGCTCTTTATGCTTGCTTTGGTAGCTGCTGATAAAAGTACCAACAGTGGAGCATAAAGTGACTTTTTTTTTTTTTTTTTTTTTCTCTTCCAAATGTCTCTTCCTTTGTCCTTTTTCCTTTCACATTTCCTTTTTCCTGTTCTCTTCTCCTTTGTTTTCCTTCTGTTTCCTTTCCTTTTATCACTCCCTATTCTTCAGCTTGACTCTGGGGGGAGTAACGATTGATAAGACCGACCCATCCACAGTCGAGGCTTTAGTTGGCCAAACAGTTGTGCTGCCCTGCCGAGTCAGCCCTCCACCTTCCTCCACCGTTGTCGTGGAGTGGAGGAGGGATGGTATACCTCTATCAACTCACAGGTATGTAGAGAAACGTACTCGGTGACTTAATTTACATTAAAGTTGTTTTTCCTGTTGCTATTTTTATTTATATCTATCTTTTTAATTACATTTAGGCATCACCAACAGCCCAATGGCTCTCTGTTAGTAGGTCCCGTCTCTAAGCTGGACTCTGGCTGGTTCCTGTGTGTGGCCACTCGAGAACGAGAGAGAGACCACCGCTACATTTACCTGGCTGTCTCAGGTAATTACATTTCAGCCACAACCTCTATGGTCAAAACAAGACTGGTAGGTTCACTTGCAGATAATTATATCTGAAGTTAAGTAAGTTAAGATACAAAGCAGTGGAAGAATTTGGGAAAACATTACTATGACAGTCCAAACAAACTGATATATGGGACATGATCTGAATTACATATTCTTATAGTTGATGTCAGTGACTTTTGCTGACAAAGGGGAAATGGCATATTTTGGAAGAGGCTCAGAGTGATAAAGATCTTTTAATCGATCAATTCAAGCCTGGGAAAAGTAAAATCGACCTGAAGAAATGTTTCAAAATTCCTATAGAGGGGTCTCAGATGGTCTCAATTGAGAATCTGTGTGAAATTACATCCTATATATACTATAGAGTCTGTGTGAATGTAACATTTTGCTTCAATAAAAAGACAAAAGTTGTAAAAATTTGCGCCTGATTGTAAAGGGGTCAGTTGGGAGGCTGATTTTTCATGGAATGACGTTCTCACACCCTGATATACAATCAGCTAATTGGGGCTGGATTCGGTCAAACTGCTAATTTGACCGACTTTGACCCCAATTAGTCTGTCACATGAACATGTAGAAAGTTTGGGGTAAAGCTCTGATGTCATAGGTTGTGTCAGAACATGCTGATCTTGCAAAGTCACTTGGTGTTTATGCAATGACATTGTGCAAGTGCTCACTCTGTGTGTTGAATTGTTTGCGAGCATTCATATGTGCTTGTGTTTGTGTATTCGGCCACAGAGGGACCATCTTCTACCTCGCTTCCCAGAGACGGTCCATTTGCAAGGTGAGAAGAATATCTGTGGATCTGTGCGCCTGAAGATGGTTATTCACGGTTTCTGGAGATATTAAGAGCTCAGGCACATGGAAACCTCAGTATTCTGATTTATTTCTAACAGTATAAATGAATCACTTCACATTGTCTTTGCTTCCCTGTAATTTCTGTCAGGTTCAGTATTGAGCGCTCAAGCTCAGCCCAGGTGGAAATGCGAGCAGGACAAACTGCCAGACTGCCCTGCACTGTTGTCCCCTCTTCAGCTCGGCAGTCTGTCAGCATTGGGTGGACTAAAGATGGACAGCTAATCAGTGATCCCAGGTAATAATTGAAGACATTCAGAAATTTATGAACCCTTTATTAAAAACATTGCTAGCAGTGAAAGTTCTTTGATTTTATTCACCGGTCTTACTTCTTACTATTACTATTAGTATTTTTATTTTTGAGATCTATTACCGCTGTGATGTCAGTTAGCATAGCTCAGTTATTTAGTCCACTTTATATATAAATTTGATTCAAGCTGAACTTTGGAGTCTAAAGAAAATTACCTGATCTGTCTTTATCCATGTGAGATTGTTTTATTATCCAAGAGATACTATTAAAGCCAGCTTGGTATAAATTGCCCTGGTTTGCCTGTTAGGGTCTCGGTACTTTATCATTTTAAACCATAAAAACGAGTCATTTACGAAGAAGTCGGTGTAAACTGAGGTCCTGTCTGATGGCTGTGCTGCAGGTTTACTCAGCATTCAGATGGCACCCTCATCATCGGCCCTCTGAAGTCTGATGACTCTGGTGTCTACACATGTACAGCCTCCAACCAGCAGCAGCTGGAGCAGCGACAGCTGCAGCTCAGAGTCCAGCGTGAGTTTTATTCATAGCCTCATCATTTTTTTTTTAAACATGTACCATTTGGATGCTTGTGTGCAATAGGTAGCTTATCAAACTCAGAAGGGAAATTATGATTGTAAGACTGAAACCCGAGGCTGCAGTTTCAGATAATCACCAGCAGAGATCAGTAAATGTCACTGACTGCCTGATTCTCTCTCTGCTTGCACTGTTCAAATACAATGAACAGCGCTGAAATAGTGTATGAGTGTGTGTTAATAGACATAAACTGTAGTAGAAATCTCATAGAAATATATTAACTAAATTACTATTAAACTAAACTAAATTATTATTATTTTATTATCCAAAACCATATTTTAAGTCTAACACATATTGTAAACACTAATCCAGTTTATATGATCCAGACCATGAACATTATTTATGAATTTACATTCCTAAGATTTTACAGCTGAGTTGATCACATAATAAAGAAATTTATTTCTCTGTCAGACCAATAAACTTGTGAAATAAGTGTTATGAGGAAGTAGGGCTGTGTAGTTCATTTAAAATCAACAATTATATATCAGATAGTAAACAAATATAAAACTGGAGTTTGATTATTATTGCTTATGAAACATTCCTTTATTGTTAATAATTTGCTTAAATGTTTTGGTCTTTTGGTTGTTTAGAATATGGACTGTACAAAGGGTGGGTGTAATAGCTAAGCTGTTTTTTTTCTGTTTAATTTAAGTATTTGTTGACCAATTTTATTTTGGGGTATTGTTGTTGTTATTGCCTTTAAAAAAATATTTTACCCATAGGGCAACACCCAGGATAAAACTGTAAAAACTGAATATGAGAAAAATGTGACATTAGTGATCTTTTCTCTTGGTTTCTTTGTCCAGCTGATCTGAAAATCACAACAGCTCCCAATAACATCCAAGTGTCAGAAGGCAGCACGGGCATGCTTCCCTGTGTGGTGTCAGGAGACAACGTCAATATAGGCTGGTCAAGGTGAAAAATGACATTGTTATTACTTTATTAGACATCATTAAGAATAAGTGGAAGAGATGCATGAAACATCTGTTAAACTGTCTGATTTTAGGTTATATAGCATTCAAAAAGAATCCCCAATAAAAGTAAAAATGACCCAAAAATACACCCTATAACTTTAATGACTTAAATGTTAAATAAGGTGATATTTGTCTACAAAAAAATATATAAATCCAGTTCTTGTTGTCATCAACACTGACATTATTTACACTTTCATGGCCCTAAAATCCAGAAATAAAGCCATGAGTTGTATTTCTGTTACTTGCAGTTACAGAGCACGCATGCATTAATATACGCATTAAAAAGAGTGAACTGATTTTTAATTTAAGTGCCTATTGAATGCATTTAAATAATGTACCTAAACCTTGTTGCTCTATTTAAATACAGAAATGGTGTACCGGTGCGTCCAGATGGGCGCAACATCCTCTTGTCTTCTGACGGCAGCCTGATCCTTAATAATGTCAAGCCTTCTGATCAGGGCACGTACACCTGCAACGCTTACACCGGCATTTACTCTGTGAGCGCCACAGCTGAAATAAAGGTCATTAAAGAAACCCAGCAAGGTGAGAACGCTAAATCAGCTCAGACCTGTTATCTGCACTGCAGAGGGAAAGTAGAAAACTGAACTTGGAACTGATTTATTTATTCGCCACGATGTCATCATGTATTTATTTATTTATTTATTTTAGCTTGAGTTTAAACAATGATTTTGCTTTAACCCTTTAAAGTCAAGTGTATCATATTTTATATGTGAGTGACTTTGAGTTCTTTAGATTTCTACATCACCAGTGTGAGTTTTCCTCCTGAAAAAACAACAACAAACTGCACGGTACATTTTTAAGAAATCAATTGCAGAAAAATGACTGAATATTATCTACATTTTAACAGATTTAAATGATTTAAATTAATTTGATATATGCAAATTAATATTTAATAAATTTTTATTTCATCATAAGCACGCCACTTAAAAAGAAATTGAATTTTCTGGCAAATATTTCATGGCTCAGGCTTTACATTTTAATGTTGTGGGTTTTTTAATTTTTTTTTTAAAATTTTTTTTTTTTAGCTTTTTTGGAAGTATTTAAAGATCCACAAAGGATCAAAGCAAAAAAAAAAAAAAAATTAAAAGATTTAACAATACATTTTTATACAACATAAACAAGACAGCTGTTTAATGCAGAGAACAATTACAAATAAAGTGTAGAACCATAAAAAGTGTTATATGTAGCTTGATTAATCTGTTGTACTTATATTTATGTGATTCTGACCCTGTCCACTGTGCCGCTGCAGACGCTGACGTCCCGCCAGAATGTGTGGACTACCCTGAGCTTGCCAACTGTGAGCTGATAGTTTACGCCCGACTTTGCTCCAACTCATACTACTCCAGTTTCTGTTGTGCCAGCTGCACCAGGCATTCACAGAAGAAACGACAGGTTTGGTCGACCAGGTTAAAGCCACAGAGGGTGTAAAAACTATGTGATGTGTGGTGGTGGACACTGGGGTGGGATCTGAATTCCCATTTAGATTCTAAAAAAACTCGAGCTGTCGACTACGAGCTGCTGCATTTGCCAAAAGGACTCAAAAAACCCTGAGCAGATTGTACAGAAATGTATTTCAATATTGCAATCTTAAAAAAGGGACGGATCACTGTAGATGCACAGTAGTTAAAGCTACAAAGTAAGTGGTGTTCAGGGAATCTTATGGAACGATAAAAGATGGGCCTTAAAATATAACGTAAACCTGTAAAGTCTGAATGTGATGAGACGATGAACTCGTTCTTACTCTGCCACACCTTTTAAAATGAGTTATGCTCTCACTTGATCTATATATTCTCTGTTTTTTTGAGAATCGTGATGATAATAACTCTTATATATGTTATTAAAAAAGCTGAAATTACTTTTTTCATGCCAGTAAATCACTGATACAAGGCTGCACTCATTGCTGCTTCTGTATCATATAATGAAACTCTACAAGACTTTTCCACTATTTTTTTATTTCTATGTAATTATTTGACAATAAAGGTCATATTTTGATAAAAACTTTGGTTTACTTCAATGACTGTACGTTATACACGTGTGCTGAATTGTTCCAGTTTCTACCACAAGGTGTCGCCCAACATGAGAAGCACAGTTTCTCATTCACTTGATGGAAACTGAATATGAACATAACTGAACCTTCACTGGAAAATAATTCAGTGACATCTCTAAATTTATTAGAGATGTTTTTCCACTGCATATTGCAGTATCTATTCCAACCGTCAAGTCAAGCAATGTCTAACAGTAAGAATAAACATTTGTAACATCTCTCAGCAATCAGCTTTTTTTGCTCTTGTGTTGTTTTCATAAACATAATTTAACCACTTACGTTCTAGCTTTAAGATGGATTTGCTGGCTCTACAAACAAAACAATCTTTAGCTAACAGTCAGTATTTAATCTCCTGGCCGTGGTGTATATTTGTGGAACGTTCTCCTTATATCTTTAATATTTTTTAGTACAGTTGTGAGCTATAGTATGGCAGACAGACAATAAACGGTATAGTGCAATATATTACTTAATGTAGCCATTAAGTAAAATAAAACTCATTGTTTAATAATCTTTATATTTACAGTTCAGGTCCAAGGCTTTGCACATTAGGATGTTATAAAAAATAATCTGGCCCTTTCCCTAAGATTATGGAAACACAACCTCAGACAAACATCAGGTTATGTCATGTTATTATTTAACAAAAAGTGAGCCAACATGAAGAGGTCATTTGTGAACTGATCAATTGCAAGTGTGAGCTTCTTTATAAATGCAGACATTTAGGAAGCTTGCTGGTCTGGAGTGTTCTGGTGCTGATCTGAGACAAGCAACTGTTGCTGCCCTTCAGTTTGGGAAAATGTATGAGGTTCTTTACAGACAATCTGAAATCCATCTCGCTACAGTGACGAGACAAAACATTTGCCAATCTTCCCAGCAGTGGAAGTCCCAGCAACTTGACTCCAAGATCATTCTGTATTACAAAGAGAAACTGGGGGGAAAAAGAGCTTCATTTCAGACTCTACAGGCCTCAGTTAGCAGGTTAAATGTAAAGTTCATGACAGTTTAATGAGAGTAAGACAGAATAAGTATACCATATTTTGAAGAGCTACTAGGAGAAAGCCTCTTCTCTCTAAAAACAACATGGCAGCATGGCTTAGGTTTGCAACGTTCAACTTGAACCAACTGCACAGCACTGGAATGCGCAGGATCACTGTTAAGAGATGTACTCTAAAACACTTCTTCAGTAGAGAATCAGAGAAGAGAAACACGCAGAACTTCTTGCTAGCAAGGGCAGCCTCCAGAACTGAGACTCGCGCTGAGAAACTGCCCCGGTCTTT